CCTGGTTTAGGAGAAAACAAGGAATGAGCACGTTGAGTTTGAAGGTCCCTCTGTCCAAGACCCTCTCTAGAAGTCCCTGGGTATCTGGGGGGTCTTGGTTTGAAAGGAAAGGTGTTTGCTAAGGAAGGCAGAAACCACCATTGAAATTGATAAAAATTCAAGAAACAACCCTCTCCAAATTATTATAATCTTGAAATCAAAGTGCTCTCAGATAAAGATATAGGAATACAAATAATAGTTCTTTACTAAAGGAAGAAAAATGAAAATGCAGCAGTACAAAAGAAAAAAACCAAAAAACCAGCACTCTGATGAGAGAGTCAGAATACAACCTGATACCCTGTTGGTCAGGGTGCTGGTAGCAGTCTGATTAAATGGTGGCTGCAGTCCTCCTGGAGTGACTGATGTGGTTCTGTTGAAGCAATGATCCCATAGAATATTGTAGCTTACCTCTGAAGTTCTGGTGCTGTAGATGGGTCTGGTCTCTCCTCTGGGAATCTAGTGGAGAAAGACTGCCTGTGGTGCTTTGATGCTCTGATTATATCCATGCAGGAATGCTTGGCTCCTCCCCCTGGCTGGAGCATCTCACAATGGGATGATGTCATTTTATCAGTCCTGCAGTGAGACTCAATGGCCCATTAACAGAAGATATCTCCCTGGAGGAAGGATGGGTGGTGGAAGAGATAAAGAACACTGCCCCACCTGGTTTTAACAGCTGGCCCATTAACAGAAGATATCCCCCAGTTATGAGGGATGGGTGATGAAAGAGATAAAGAAAACTGCTCTATCTGGTTTTAACAGATGGTGATAGAATACATACTTTTGGTTACATCTTGCATTGCAACCCAGGAAATGGGGTACATAAAAATTGTACACCACCAAAATTTGGCTCTGAAAATGCTTTCCAGAAGTTCCCCATTTCTGTTCTCTCCCTTTTGGTGTTCAGGCTTTCACCCCTGTCCCAGCTGCTGGGGGTCACGCTTGTACTGTGGGTCCCCTGTCTACTTGGTCCCTGAGCTCTTCTGGCTGCTGGGAGTGCCAGGAATTTGAAAAGTTCTTCCCATTTCGATCTCCCCACTTAGGGATGCAGGAAGTGTTTTGGGGTCCCAGGGTCCCTGCTCCCCTTATTCCCTTCTTGGGGGTGCAGGGGGACCAAGGAGTCCCCCCTGCCCCTCTCTATGCAATTGAGGGTCCCACGAATCATGGCACTCCCCCTCTCTGGGCTCCCCACTTTGGGGTCCTGGGGGACACAGGGCTCTGCTCCTCCAGGCTGCCTCTGCCAGCAGCTGCCACTGGGAACCCCAAATGTCCCCCTAAAGGACATTTTCTTCTCAGCCTTGGTGTTCTTCATTCTCCAATCATCACCCCCAAAAACCCAACCCAGGAAGCCCCCAGGATATCTGGGCCGAGCTCCCCCTCCCTGGTAACCTGTGGGATAGGGGGGGTGTTGATCCCATGGATGGGGGGGGCTGTGAATTCAGGGAGTGAATCCCAGCTTGACTGGGATATACTGGGCCTGAGATCATACTGGGATAACAAGCACCTAACTGGGATTACTAGGAGTGTCTGGGAATGTCTATGGACATGCTGAGGGCAGCTGGGATATACTGGGAGTGTCTGTGATCATACTGGGGATGACTGAAAACACACTGGGAACAATGGGAACCATGCTGGGGACAACTGGGAACAACTGGGAGTGACAGGGTCTACACTGGGGGCAGCTGGGCATGACTGCAACCTTGCTGGGAGCAGCTGGGATCATCTGGGGAGCAACTGGAACTACACTGGGGCCAACTGGGTGCAACTGGAATCACACTGGGAGGAACAGGGAGCAACTGGAACCATCCTGAGGGTAACTGGCATCCTACTGGGATCACAGTGGGAGCAGTTGGGCCATGCTGGGCAAGACTGGGACCATACTGGCAGCAACTGGGACTGCACTCAGGGTGACTGGGAGTGTCTGGGAGCAACTGGGATCAGGCTGGAAGCACCTGAGGAGTGACTAGAGAGGAACTGGGATAGACTGGGAGAAACTGAAACCACAGTGCAGGTAAATGGGAGCAACTGGAACCACACTGGATAATCCTGGGAGCAGCTGTGCCCATGCTGAGGTCATACTGGGATCCTACTGGAACTAGCTGGGATCATACTGGAAGTGACCACAAAGGTGCTGGCTGGGACTGGAACCATGCTGGAGGTGACTGGGAACAACTGGGCCCATCCTGGGAGTGAGAGGGAGTCACTCTGGCCATGACTGGAATCATGCTGGAAGGATATGGGAGTGATTGGAACCATACTGGGGGTGACTGGGTGTAACAGCAAATACTGGAAGTGACTGAGATTGTAGTGGGAGTGACTGGGAGTCACTGGGATGCTTGGCTCCTCCCCCTGGCTGGAGCATCTCACAATGGGATGATGTCATTTTATCAGTCCTGCACTGAGACTCAATGGCCCATTAACCGAAGATATCTCCCTGCAGGGAGGATGGGTGGTGGAAGAGATAAAGAACACTGCCCCACCTGGTTTTAACAGCTGGCCCATTAACAGAAGATATCCCCCAGTTATGAGGGATGGGTGATGAAAGAGATAAAGAAAACTGCTCCTCTAGTTTTTAACATGGTGATAGAATACATACTTTTGGTTACATCTTGTATTGCAACCCAAGACATGGGGTCCATAAAAATTGTACACCACCAAAAATTGGCCCTGAAAATGCTTTCCAGAAGTTTTCCATTTCTGTTCTCTCCCTTTTGGTGTTCAGGGGTTCCCCCCTGTCCCAGCTGCTGGGGGTCATGCTTGTACTGGGGGTCACACTTCTACTCAGTCCCTGACCTCTTCTGGCTGCTGGGAGTGCCAGGAATTTGAAAAGTTCTTCCCATTTCGATCTCCCCACTTAGGGATGCAGGAAGTTTTTGGGGTCCCAGGGTCCCTGCTCCCCTTATTCCCTTCTTGGGGGTGCAGGGGGACCAAGGAGTCCCCCCTGCCCCTCTCTATGCAATTGAGGGTTCCTCGAATCATGGCGCTCCTCCTCTCTGGGCTCCCCACTTTGGGGTCCTGGGGGACACAGGGCTCTGCTCCTCCAGGCTGCCTCTGCCAGCAGCTGCCACTGGGAACCCCAAATGTCCCCCTAAAGGGCATTTTCTTTTCAGCTTTGGTTTTCTTCATTCTCTAATCATCACCCCCAAAAACCCAACCCAGGGACCCCCCCAGGATATCTGGGCCGGGCTCCCCCTCCCTCGTCACCTGTGGGATGGAGGGGTGATGATCCCACGGGTGGGCTGTGAATTCAGGGAGTGAATCCCAGCTTGACTGGGATATACTGGGCCTGAGATCATACTGGGATAACAAGCACCTAACTGGGATTACTAGGAGTGTCTGGGAATGGCTATGGACATGCTGAGAGCAGCTGGGATATACTGGGAGTTTCTGTGATCATACTGGGGATGACTGGGAACACACTGGGAACAATGGGAACCATGCTGGGGACAACTGGGAGCAACTGGGAGTGACAGGGTCTACACTGGGGGCAACTCCAGCTGGGCATAACTGGGACCATGCAGGGAGCAGCTGGGATCATCTGGGAAGCGACTGGAACTATACTGGGGCCAACTGGGTGCAACTGGAATCATGCTGGGAGGAACAGGGAGCAACTGGAACCATCCTGAGGGTAACTGGCATCCTACTGGGATCACAGTGGGAGCAGTTGGGCCATGCTGGGCAAGACTGGGACCATACTGGCAGCAACTGGGACTGCACTCAGGGTGACTGGGAGTGTCTGGGAGCAACTGGGATCAGGCTGGAAGCACCTGAGGAGTGATTGAGAGCAACTGGGATAGACTGGGAGAGACTGAAACCACAGTGCAGGTAAATGGGAACAACTGGAACCATGCTGGATAATCCTGGAAGCAGCTGTGCCCATGCTGGGTCATACTGGGATCCTACTGGAACTAGCTGGGATCATACTGGGAGTGACTGCAAAGGTGCTGGCTGGGACTGGAACCATGCTGGAGGTGACTGGGAGCAACTGGGCCCATCCTGGGAGTGACAGGGAGTCACTCTGGCCATGACTGGAATCATACTGGGAGGGCCTGGGTGTGACTGGAACCA